GAAACCAGTGGAGAGGATTGAGCAGCTTGTAGGAGAATCCAAATTGACGATATTTTTCAGATTTAATATGTTGTATAAAGGTATTTAATATGTTGTATATTTAATATTTAATATGTTGTATTAATATGTTGTATAAAGGTATTTAATATGTTGTATAAAGGTATTTAATATGTTGTATAAAGGTATTTAATATGTTGTATAAAGGTATTTAATATGTTGTATAAAGGTATTGAAACATAGATTGAAAAGAAGAGGACTCAGACAATAATAAGTGAATCGTTTCAACTTTATTCCAGTATTTGACTTATCACTTTATTTAATGCTTTAGCTTATGTTGGAATTTGATAAGCAATATAAAATACACTTGCAGCTCGCAGTTTTATATGCCAGTAAAGGTCTCCCGCTCATATTTTTTATATAAGATCAAAACAAGAAAACGAAGGCTCGATTAAGGAATTAAGAAAACATAGACTCACACAACAGCCTTCACGATTTTCCAGAATTTGCAATTAATTTGTACAGTTAGGTTTAACCTAAACTTACTAGGTAAAATATACAAAATCGAAATTGTTAAAAAGTCATGTTTAGTATACTAAGGTTTTAATCCGATTTTGAAAATTGTGCAAGTAAAAGCCAAATTAAGGCTGCAAACATGTATCATTTGGTACTAATGAGTAAGTTTTTAGTAGAAATACCTTGATAATTAAACAAAATCATTTTTCTTACCATGCTCATTATCGTGAAAACCGTTGCTGAGAAACACTGACATGGTTCTTCTAAGGGTCTTTGGATAGTTGGGTTGGTTGCNTTTTAAACTGTCAACAGACGGAGAAGTTTTAATATGTTCAGGTAGGATGTTCCATAGTTTAGGTGCAGAAAATGAAAATGAAATGATATGGGCCGGTAAAAAAAAGCTACGGCAAAAGAAAGAGCGCATGTTGCCAATTTTAGGGATCGGGTAATCTTCGAGTTACGCGCTTCGAGTTACGCGCTTTGAGTTATGCGCTTTTCGAGTTACGCGCTCAACCACGCCCAAATTTGCCTCGGCCACGCCCAGCGCATAACTCGATGCAACTAACATACATTAGTGCCTTCGATTTACGCGCCTAGCGCGTAACTCGATGTAACTACTAAAATAGCTTAGTGCCTTCGAGTTACGCGCTTTTACATTAAAATCAATATAAAAAAGAGCTCATTGCTTTTACGGCTTTTATTTTTGAAGCAAAATATATATAGAATTGAAATATGTCAAGTTTTAAAATTACAAATGGTAGCCCTTTTAGGCTGCTCGAAAATGTTTGAAAATGTTTGAGTTTTTAAATTWAGTCTCCATATTCTGAAAGTGCATGATTTAATGCATCCTTGCTAAATATGAGACTCTTATAGTGTCTTTTATAGCAGATATACAAGCGATTTTATCGTCGGGTGACTACATACGAACGCTTGTAAATTTGGTCGCGTTCTTRTCGTTARHAARGAGCCRAAATTACAAAGCGTTTCAGTGGTAAGCCGACCATAAAATCGCTTGTATCTAGATCTCCGCTATAAAAAAGTATTTTTTGTGAGTACTCTATAGGTAAATATGTTTATAGCTTGGCTAATATTTAACTTATTGCGTTCAKATTGATGGAATAGATACTTCTATGGCCGCGGTCGCACATTCAACTTTTCTATTTACGTAAGGCTTATATATAATAATAATAATAAAGTCTTTTTTTTTTTATTTTGAGAGGGTAGCACGTAAAAGTCTCTAGACTAATAAACTTGTGGCCCTCTATATATTCACTCACACTCACTACCTCAACATTCATTATTTTACCACACGACACTTCTCACAGCTAGTTTTTGACTGAGGGAGGAAAACCAGCGGACCTGGAGAAAAACCCTCGGAGCAAGGAAGAGAACCAGCCTACAAACTCAAATCACATATAGTCCCGGACCGGGAATCGAACCAGGACCACAGCGGTGATAGACCGGCGTTTTAACCGCTCGGCCATCCTTGCTCCCCAAATATATGACAGATTTATGTTATCACAGGACTGAGCTATGTGCGACCACCCTTTTTTAAACACTGACAAACTTGTCT